GTTGAAGTGCATCTCCCACGAGAGTCGCTAACATTGTTTCCTTTCCGGTGAGATCGATCTCACAGCGCCAGAGGATGAAAACGCGCGGACAGGGCGGCGGGTAACCTGCGACACAAGATCTCGCCATCGACGGAGCAGTATTTGAAGCCATGGACTGAAATGAAGGCGAGGTAACGGTGAGGATGAGGAGACGACGGTTGTGATCACACAGAAGCAGTTGGGAAGAATCTGTGTATAGGCCCGAAAAATCTGAGGCACAAGCGGATCCGAAGGTTTTGGAAGAGATGCCGGTTCCGAGTAGTTCAACTCCGACGGTTGAAGGAGAGTCTCGGTCGAATCTGAAGCCAAAGATTCGAGCACCCCCCCCCCCCCCTCAAAGAGGATTCACAAACCATGATTGGAAGATCATAGGGACGACGGAAGTTTCGATGGAAGACGAAATGACAGATTGTCGGGAGTACTTCGATGGCACGAGAAACTTCAAGTGTAGAGGAAGATCTGGTGGATGGAGCAGTCCCGGCGGAGTAGGCTCATCCTTTCTTCAGTACGGTGAGGTTGCGGCTCCTCGTAAGTCGTGGCTGAGAGGCGAACTCCACAACTTTGTCGCTTTGTAAAATTTTTAATTTAATCTTACAAAATGATGATAGTACCGGAGCACGGAAGTGATTTTATAATTTGATTTGGAACGTTCGGTTCAATTTTCGGTCCAATAATTTTGACCAGCCCTGGAAAATCTTCATCTTTAGTGATTACCGCAGGTGATCCCACCACTCTTTCATTTTTTTTTGTGGGGTTCGCTTTCTCTCCCATTAGGTCGCCGGTCGTCTCTGTGAAAAATAAAAAAATTCTTATCCATTCAGAAAAACCTCTCCTTCAATGGAATCTCTGTGAAAAAACAATCCAAAGAACATATTTTTAAGAAACAAAATGGCGATGTCTCATCTCTTTCTTTCTTCCTCTCGACCTTCAATGGCTCTTCGACTTCACTCTCCTCTTCTACCTCCGACCCAGGTAACAAAATCTTCTCTTTTCTTCTAACGAAATCTTCAATAACTCCACGACCCAGACTACAAAAATCGTTTCTTTTTCATTATTTCTTATGTGGGTCTCTCGATTCAAAACGAAATTTCAATTGATTAAAGCTCCTTGTGTAAGATTTGCAACTTATTCGACATATGCATTATCGATTATGAATCTCCGGTTAGATATATAGCCTCTTTGGAATTTTGATTTTGGACATTACAAATTTTGTTGTTCATGTTCTTTCTTTACAATTTGTCGTGTTATTGAATTGGTTGATTTATCTGTTTTGTCAGGACAATAAAGATTGTAAGATTTTTAAGTGTGCAAATGAAGCTAGAGTATCAAAGAGATTCCTTTGCCGCTCGATTCATATGGAATCTGAACATTCAGGGGAATCAGAGAGGTTTAGTTTTGATAGTCTATTGAGAAAGACAAAGCATGTTTGGGATAGCTCTCCTCAGCCGATTAAGGAGTTCCCTTGGAATCGAGCTTTTGAAAACTTCGTACAGCTCGTTTTTGATCTCGCTATATCGGTCGTTAAGTTCTTGTTTGTTCCCATATTGGCGGTTTCTTCAATCAGTGAGATGTCTTATTGTGCTCATGAGAGGAGGCTTGCTTTAGTTCCGTTTCCATTAGTCATCGGTGTGGTTGTTGCAGGCATATTACAAGAAACCGCTTTGAAGATGTCTCCTCGTCTTAAGGTAGCTGATTCAAACATTAACTGATCCCACTCTATACATTTATGTTGTTTATGTTCCTAATCTTGTATTAAGATTTTGTTATTGCAGGAAGCGGAAGTACCGTGGCATTTGATAGCTATGACGATGTTCTTCACTCTGATTAAACTTCCTGGACCGTACTATCCGTATTGGGGGCGCTTATTAGTTCCACATTTTGCAAACGGAGTATTGTTTAGATCACTTTGGTCCATGTTCTTTTGGTATAAGAAGACTCGAAACACATCAACAAATCCTCCGCAGAATCACAGTTTGGTAACAAAATGAGTTTTCTTCATCATCTAAGGTATGTACTAAATTTGGTTAGATAGTTATGTCGAAATTCTCATGATGATGAGCACATAAACATATGGACATTTTATTTAGATTCGACTTTGTTTCCCCGATTTACACATTTGTTTCTTTTGTAGGCTGGCGTTTGTTTTAGGTGCTGAGTGGTCACTTAATTAGTTCTGGGAATGATCGGGAGCCTCGCGGATTAGTGTATGAGCATTTCTTCTTTTTCAATCTTCAATTTCCCAGGGAAGTTGAGGTAAAAGAGTTTCATGTCTTTTAGGCCTCAGAATTGTTTAGTTTTGTATTCTTGACAATGTTTATGTGAAAAATGTCTCAGTTTCTCGTGAAACCACTGTTCTTTTGGTGTTGGACATGTACTTTGAATTCCAATAACGAGGAGAAATGATTCACATTTGTGTTGTGTAGAAGAATTAGGCATGGATTGTTTGTTTGATCATTGTAATTTTTAGTTTGTTAATTGACGCCAAACGCAAACAAAAAGAAAAGAAAAACCTCGCTTAATCGCGTTTAAAATTATCAAGGCTTTAGTAAGTGTTGATCTTTAGCAAGATGTTTGAGTTTCTCAAACAAATTTAGCAAAATCTATTTCTCCTTGTACGGTTAACTTGTTAGGTGTAAATTTAATTTCTTCTTGAAGAGGAAAGTACCAACTTTTAAAGTCTCTTTAAATGCTTCTTCTTTCATACTATATTTACTACATTTTGTAAAGTACTATAAAGTACAACGAAGACGCCATTGTTGCAGGTTCGTATATATGAAGAAAACTCGACCAAAAAAAAACAAAAATATATATATATCCGAATTTTTTATATTCCATGAGTACTATAAAATGCCAACGCGAATTTTCAACTACCAGTTACTTTGTTTTTCGTGTATATTTTTTTTTTTTGCAGAAAAATCAAATAATAAATCAACTTTTTTAAAATGAAAACAAAAGGGGTCAAAAACGACAACGTTTTTTGGGTTTAGATGGGTAGTTGGAAAATTCCATAACTACCCTTTAACCATCGTTTTCTCTATACGAAAGCAACTTTTGTATTTTATTTTCAGTTTTGC